TCGTCCCATGGGTCTGCGGAGGGGTTCACGCCTCATCATTTCCAGTGAATCTCATTCTCAAATCTGGCAGGATCACCTCCTCGGCTCTCCCCGCTCCGCCACTATGCAGCTTGAGCGTTCGCACGGGGAGCGCGGTCCTGCCCGCTGGTCTTGCGGTCGCATTCCTTGACGCTCCGTGTCGTGTGTGGTGTACGCGCTTCATGTCATGCGGGCGCCGTCGTGTGGGGACCGGGGGCTGTAGCCACAGTGTGGCCACACCCTGCCGGCGCCTGTGACGAGGATTGTGGCGGGAGAGAGTGAGAGATGTATGAAATAAAGTCGCATCTCCAGCGGGTCTGTGACATATCAAAGTAATAAACAAATTGAATGATGACGGAGGGGACCCAGAGAGACGGACGCGATCGGGGAAATGCAACCGAATGAATAAATATAACGGCGGGGGATGGAGAACGATAAATAAAAATGAATTTCTACCGGTTCCGTAATAAAGAAATCGTGACCGGGGCCTATCGGGCGATGGCTGGGCGCGATAGAGCCGTGCCCGACCGGACCGTGCTGGACCGTACAGTCCTCGGGGCGGCCCGGGGAGGGGCGGCAAGGCGGGCAGCAGCGGAGGAAGGAGGGAGAATTTTAATTTCACTTCAGTTTCGATGAAGACGACGGAGAAAGAAACAGTGCGCGTGGCGCGCGAGTGACGGAGAGCGACGGAGTGTGTGCGCGGCGGGCGAGCGCGAAGGGCGTGTGGCGAGGAAGGACGTTTCGCAGAACTCCCTCAAGAAGACGGCCGAGGAGGATGGAGAAGGGGGTGCGAGAGAGGCGGGGACGGAGAAGGCTTGCATTAGAAAGAAATGTACGCGCGTGGGGCCCTGCCCGGCCCTGCCCGCGCCCTGCCATAGGGTGGTGGGGGCGAGACGGAGACATAGATTTAGCGACGAGAGAGAGGAGATGAGGGAGAGGGAGTACCCGAACGGGACACGAACGGGGCGCTCCGATCGCGAAGGGGTGGGAGGGAGAAAGAAGGAGGAAGGCGGAGCTCCTGGAAGACATGACGAAGTGGGAAGAGGTGTTAGTAATTATGAGTGGAAGAGAAAAGGGAAATTAGACTGCACACGCTTTTAAAGCAGAGGGGAGGAAGGGGGAAGGCAGCGCATGACCGGAGAGAGGACGGCGGAACATAGAGAGAACGAAGAAGACGAAGAAAGGGGATGGAGGAGGCAAAAAATGCGAAATGACGGGGTGGTAGAACGGCAAGAAAAATAAGAGAGAGAAGGAACCGGTCGGCTCGGCCCGGGGCCGGAGGGTTGGTGCGACTGCGCGGGCCAGTCACTTCCAGAAGGCTGTTGGCGCGCTCTGGCGGCGTAAAAAACGCCAAGGGAAAACAAAGAGGGATCGAACGCGGGCGGAGGGCGAGCGAGCGAGAGCGAGACAGAGAGAGAGGCGAGCCAAAGTGGTGGGGGGAATGAGCGAGGGGGTTGGTGGGGGTAGAGGCACCCCCCGCGCGGGCTGCTGGGCGAGCGCGGAGCTGGCCGTGCCGCCCCCGCCGCGCTGGCGAGGCGCCGGCGCTGGCCGCGGGGCCGCTGCAGCGCGGGGCGGGACGGCCAGGGTCCGCGGGGTGGCTCCGCAGGCCCCGCAGGCTCCGCAGCGAGAGGGGCGCCCCGCTCACCAGTCACTGGAGCCGCTGCCGGCGCGGCCCGGGCCCACACCGGCGTGGTCCAGCAGCAGCCCGTCGCGGTGTTGGACCCGTGTCGTCGCTCCCCGGGCTCGACCTGCCCTCTTGTCGAGGTTCTCGCCGCCAACAGCGATCGCAGTCAGCCGGTAACCAAAGGATGCATTCGCGGGCCTCTACCCCGAAAGAAGCAGGACATGATTTCAGTACATTTCTCGTGAGCTCGATTTTATCGGCAACATTGAGCTTGTTTTGAGAAAAGGGCGTACTTGTTTAATAAGTAGAATGCTGTCAGTGCGCAATACTGTGCAAAATTCAATATCGTGATTTTGTGAATGTGGCTTAGAAAGCGTTTGTTTAATATTCTGATTGTAACTTTTATAGGCTATAAAATTGAATAGTCAGTTAGTTTTCAAGAGGCGGTTTAACAGTGCCGAGAACAAGATTTGTGACTGAAAGACTTCGACAAAACAAAAATGTGCTGTTTGGTGCAGCTTGACAAAATCCAGACGGAATCATACATTTCTTCTGTCAAAATCATAACCACTTATGTTTATTTATTGCGAAGGAGTATTATTTAATGGCAGCTGTTAGCTCTGTGCTAAGGACACTTGCACATTATACTGCCTTTGTATTCATCTTAAAACCACGGGGAAGTTGCACAAAAATGCTTAGTTTTATCAGTTATTTTTCTTGGGTTGCATGTTTCATTTTACAGAAATTAAAGCACACCTTACACTGTTTTCTGTTTTATTCTAAAGAATGTGGACACTTTTCATATAATTCCTGAATACGACACCGCATACAATGGTGCGACATTGTTAAATTATCTGCACACGTTTCGCAAAAACAACATATTTCCAGACAAACTAGTTCACTCCCTCGAAAGAAAGTAATAACCATTGCCGTCAAGTTGATTGTTTTCCTTCATTATATGTTTTTCAATCCCTCCCCGTTTGTCAACCGTGCATTCGACCACTTTCAACTAACTCACCTCCGAGATGACTTGCATCGGCAGGCGCAGATGTAACTGGCGTCCTGGGCGTGAGGGGAGGGGGGGGAGGGGCAGAGGTTGGGAGGGGTGGCCAAACACAGTTACCACCCCTTCCCCTTCATTTACTCGTGATTTTTTCACCAGGGCCGCGCCGGGCCGAAGGGGAGTAAGACGGAGAGAAAGAGACGGAGAGAAAGACGGAGAAAGAGAGAGAGAGAGAGAGAGAGTGCTTAACGCACGGCGCTAGCGCTGCTGCATCCGACCCCGATAATTTCTCTTGGCCGGGGCTCGGCGTGCCGGGGCGTGGCGGGGTGAGTCGGCGGCAGTGCCGTCTGATTCCTGATGCACAGATTTGATGAGACGGCATGGAGGATGAGAGGGAGGGAAAAAAAGCAAATGGCACCGCGATAGGGAAGGACGTTGTGTGTCGCGTGGCGTGGCACGGCGTGGCGGGCCGAGTCTGGTGCAAGGGACCACCCCCGCGCTGCCCCGATTGGCTAGCTAGGGCGAGGGATTTAGCGAGGCACGTAAGTTGACGTTTTGAGAAGGGACGCGTGGGGCGGGTGAAAGAGGAGTGAGGGCACATAGAGCAGAGAGCGGGCGAGGGGCTGGGAAAAAAAAACAAGATTGGATGAGTTTTGATTCGATGCATAGCAGCAGCAGGATTCGACAGAGTGCATGTCAGGGCTGACAAGGATAGCGAACCAAACAAACGAAGGAACACCCCCATGACAAGTCAAATCAAAAACCAAGAGCGCTACACCAACCTCATGAGATTTTCCAACTTTTGGCTGAGCAGAAAGCGCACTACGAGCAATGTTCTTGAATCCAGAGTGTAATTGCAGCAGACGCACGGCTGCACCATGGTCTGCACCGCACCCCTCTCTTGAAAATAAAGGAAAAATATATATAATGCTAAAATGAAAGGGGATGTACATTAAAGCGCGCCATTAAAGCCGCGACATGAGTCTGAAGACACATTCCCCGCCACGCGTCCAGCGGCAGCGGCGGCGCCAAGGAGAAAAGAGCGATAGGGAGACATCCAAAACAGCTCGAGGAGGGAGGGAAAAAATGATACAATGAGAGAGAGAGAGAGATCAGAGTGGGGGAAAGGCAGGAAAGGGGGAAAAAGGACCGTCGTTATTCCTGCGGAATAATAAATATATGCAGGTTGAACACATGAGGGGCTGAGTCACTTAGGCCCCTTTAGTCTCGTCACGTGTGAGCCGTGCCGGCGCAGGGCCCCGCCGGGGGCGCTTATCATCTTATCCAAGCCACCAAGCAAATTTTTCACCGCCAATTTCAGGTGCGGGCCGCGAGGGAGGGAGGGAGGGAGAGAGAGAGAGAGAGAGAGAGAGAGAGAGAGAGAGAGAGAGAGAGAGAGAGAGAGAGAGATGGGGTGGGTGTGGCAAGGGGCGCCGCACACCACCACCACCACACGCGTGTGTGGAGCGGCGCGCGGAGTGAATCGAGTTAGCTGCAAACGGTTTAGGTGGCCCCGCTTACTGCAACCCTACGGGGGCCGCCCGACAGCCGAGCGACATAGTGTCGCGGCCGCCTGCTTTGCTTCGATCACCAAGTTCGTACTTCACACCCCCGCGGCAGCCTATGCCACGACGCGCGCCCGCAGTGCGGCGGTGTGTTTTCCGAGAGGGATCCAATCTCCCTGGAGTGCGTGCCCAATATCGCCTGGAACGACACGCCGGCAGGGCCACCCTGGAGCCACACGGCCCTCCTGGAGTCGGCCTGGAGCAGCGGCGGGGGCGGCGCAAGGGAATATGCGCGGGGCGGCAAGCGCGCCGAGAAAAATGGCCAGATAAAGATAAACTCGGATATTTTTATAAATGAAACAAGAAAGGAAGAAATGAGGAGATGTGGAGGAGGCGAGGGGAGCCGCTCCAGCCGAGCGGGCTCCAGCAGCAGCTCCGGTGGGACGCAGTCAGCTTAGGGCACAAGTGCGCAGACTTACCGTCAAACACCGTGGCTTTGCAGGGCGTGGAGTGGAGTGGCGTTGTGGCGTGGCGCTGGCGGAGTGGAGGGGGCGGGGGGTGGTCACCCCCACGGCCGCCACCACCACCACCACCACCACGGACGCGACGCGGCAGCGATAATTCTCCCCCACCCCCCACTTTTTTCCCCCACTGCCGCTTGTTTTGGTCGATGCTTTTTGTCTGAATGAGGAGAGACGGGACGGCCGGAATGTGGATTTACGGCATCATCGGGGCATTTTAATTTTTCAACTCTCTCGGCCCGAGGGCCGCGAGGTGGCCGCGGTGTAGCTGCACGTGTCCATCACCAACGTGCGCCGCCGGGCGCGGGGGGGCGGCCGCCAAAGACGCGCAGAAACGCGCGCCAAAAATACTCTTCGATATAAGACACATTGCAAATAATATAAAGTTGGCGCGGCCCGTTCTGGAAATAGCAGAACAACAACACGTTATATATGAGAGTAACGCGATAGCCCTCCCCACGTGTCGCATTACAAGGCATCATAACACGGCCGGCGCGAATAGGATGAGCAGGGTAATGATAGCGCTGCCATGCACAAGGCCCGGCTATTTTGCAATCAAATCCGTTCACATGCAAATGTATCATCGCCGCATCTCTCGCCAAAAAGGGGGTTTGTTTACAAAAGGGATAAAAGGTCGACGTAACAATCGTGGTTGACCCTTGACCCCGCCTGCCAGTGTGAGAGAGACGGAAAAAGTAGCAGGGAGGGG